AACAATGGTGGCATACAAAACATAAGCGTAATTGGTTGAAGGCCAGCCGAGAAACAACTGTGTATAGACGGTACCACCTACCCATCATACATGGAGAGATTACATTATGGCTGTACATTATCAGCTTATGGAGGCTCAAATATTAGCTCTATTTGCCCAAGATCACTACACCAGCGTACGAACTGGTACTGCCCTCTTCCACATTCCGTTGTTGGTTTTCATCTTCCGTTCATTGTTGTACTGGCTGCTTGGGGCAGGAATTCATCCGATGATCCTCCGTCTTACAAAGGGAACACACTTTTTTGTTCCCTTCCCAAGTAACACTTGCAACATCTTGCATGAAAAATAAAAAAAAAATATCCAGTTGTAAATAAGTTATATATTAATTGCTTTTAAAACATCCTGTTTTAGACTCGTTGTATTGTTGTTTGTGAAGTATTCAACCTTTCTGACAAGCACTTGTTATCTTGAAGTTATAATTCGATATTGCATGTCTCAATTACCAGTTTATAACACTGATTGTATTTGGTGAAAACTGGCAAGACTTATTTACAACATGTTTTCATATGTCATTATTAGAAACATGAATCCATCTGAGATATAACTTATTTATAACATGTTATTAAAAAGTTATATTTCAGATGTACAACAAACATGAAAACATGTTGTATATAAAGGGTGATACGGTCAAAATTTGGTCAATATCAACTTGACGTATTTCTTTCAATTTTGCATTTAAAAAACCTGAACACCCCTCATTTTGAAGGTGTGTGTGTGTAGAATGTTGCTCCTATTTTGATTTTGGAATTCACTCTTCAGTTGTCAAAATGCCGTCCAAGCAAGAAGAGCAGCGTATCAAAATTTTGCTCGCGCATCGCGAAAATCCGAGCTACTCGCACGCAAAGTTGGCAAAATCGCTAAAAATTGCCAAATCAACCGTTACAAATGTAATTAAAGTGTTTGGGGAACGTTTGTTGACAGCCAGGAAGTCTGGATCGGGGGGAAATCGAAAACCGGAAGCCGCTGAGACGACAAAGAGAGTTGCCGGTAGTTTCAAGCGAAACCCTAACCTCTCTCTCCGAGATGCCGCAAATAAGCTGGGTGTATCGTCTACAACCGTGCATCGAGCCAAAAAACGAGCCGGACTATCGACTTACAAGAAGGTAGTGACTCCAAATCGCGATGATAAACAAAATACGACGGCCAAAGCGCGATCCCGGAGGCTGTACACGACGATGCTGACGAAGTTTGACTGCGTGGTAATGGACGACGAAACCTACGTCAAAGCCGACTACAAGCAGCTTCCGGGACAGGAGTTTTATACGGCAAAAGGAAGGGGAAAGGTAGCAGATGTTTTCAAGCACATGAAACTGTCAAAGTTCGCAAAGAAATATCTGGTTTGGCAAGCCATCTGTACCTGTGGCTTGAAAAGCAGCATTTTCATAGCTTCCGGGACTGTCAACCAAGAAATTTACGTGAAAGAGTGTTTGAATAAACGTCTGCTGCCTTTCCTGAAGAAACACGGTTGTTCCGTACTGTTTTGGCCGGATTTGGCATCTTGCCATTACGGTAAAAAGGCCATGGAGTGGTACGCCGCCAACAACGTGCAGGTGGTTCCCAAGGACAAGAACCCTCCCAACACGCCAGAGCTCCGCCCAATTGAGAAATACTGGGCTATTGTCAAGCAGAACCTAAAGAAGACCAAAAAACTGTTAAGGGCGAGCAGCAGTTCAAGGCAAACTGGCTTTCTGCGGCGAAGAAGGTGGACAAGGTGGCTGTACAAAATCTGATGGCAGGGGTCAAGCGTAAGGCCCGGCAATTCGGATTTGGAAAAGCGGAAGCCTAACTGAATATTTTTTCTGAATTTTATACTAATTGAACTTGAAAAAGAAATTTAATTTGATTTTTTAAATAAACGATTTCACCGATTTACACGCGTTTTCCCTTGACCAAATTTTGACCGTATCACCCTTTAAGGCTAGCAAGTTTTCATCAAAAACTATCAGTTATAAAAGTGTTATAAATAGGCAATTGAGAGTTGCCATACCTAATTATAAATTCAATATACGATTCAAGTAATGTTCTTGTTGTTCGTGTTATAAACATGTTTTGATATCAATTATGAAATTTCTCAATGCATACTACAAACTGCACTACAATATGGCTGACCAATAAAGCAATGTATAGAATGAAAAAAACATTTAATTTGTACTTTCAACATCACATGTACGTTTTGTGAAAGAGAAAAGCAAGATAATTTAAAAAGAAAGTTGATATTCTATTTGTTTTTGTTTTTTTGCAAAGTTGGGGAATTTTATCCAGGATATTTTATGCAATTCAATTTATTATATTAAGCTTTTTCTAAGAGCCAATGAGTTTTTTAGAAATAGAATGTATAGATTTACCATAAATTTGCAACCGCATAAATGTTTGCAGTATGGAATCTCAGTTTAGGCAGTTTATTCGCACGATAAAATTACTCCGAAGAATAAGTTGTGTAAATTGATGATAAACAAATTCCATTCGTAGGAAGGATGAAATTAATTTACAACATGTCCAAAACAGTAGGTTGCGTTATAGTCATAAATAAGTTGCGCAAGTCAAGCATATGTTATATATAGATCCCACGTCTTGCGCTTTTTTCGGTATAAATAAGTTGTATATAAGTGACTAGACGTAAATGTTTACCGCTAATTTTGTCATAAATAAGTTATGTAAACCCGTTTATGACAAATTGTGTTGCTTGGGTTGATAGAATATGTTCCTTTTTCGATTGAGGAAAAAAACATAAGACTTAATATTTTCAAAAAAATATATCACAAAACAAAAAACAATGCCCTGAATATTTGATATGTTAAGTAAAAATTATAAGATTAAAAAAAAAAAAAAAAAAAAAACTGTGGTTTCTTTGGTCTGGGCATGGTGAAATCCATGAAAAAGATAGAAAATGTTTTAGTATATCTAAACTAATTTGACCTTCAGTTTAATATTTTTACAACGCTTTTAAATACCTTTCATTTGCTGAAAAAAGGTCGGAAATTGCTTCAGCAGTTAAAAAGTTATGAATTTTCAAAGTTGGGTATTTAGGCAAAATGACGATTTTTCGGACCACCCTAATTCATGAAAGTGCACCCTAAAGTTGACATAAAAAATACGGGACTAAATTTTTTCGATAAGGAACAAATAAGTACAAGGTTTGAGCGGAATCGGTGGAACTTTTTTCGTGGAATTGCTGTATATAGACCCCGCACACCTGTGTGCATATCGAGGCCCAAGACAGCTGGAATGCAACATGCTACACGGTCAACTGGTTCCGGAGATATGACCGGAATATATTCCACTGAATATGGGCCTTAAGACAATAAACGACCTGAAAAGTGCCAAACTCATCATGGGACTCATCAAAACACATGAGGTATTCCACGAAGGTTCGCAAATCGATCCTGACCGATCATTTAAAATTACGCTGAAACTTTGCACAGTTGTTCCTTTTTAGTAAAGGTGCCATTTTGTGCTCTCAGTTTTTCATATTGAATCACGACTACTTTTTGAAAAGGGCCTGTGTAAAATAGTAATAATGAGTTTAAAAATATATATTGCCGAAACGCTTTGTTCGATTGATTTGGTGTCTTCAGCAAAGTTGTAGATATTATTTTGGCAATTGTGTAAAAAACATACACTGTAAAAAAATTGTTTGAATCAATGAAAAAAATTATATTTATTATTAAAAAAGTTAATTTATCTAAAAAAGCATTTTTGATAATTTTCTTTTTAAGCCTCATTGAAGCTCATAATGTTTGCTACTAACTGGCAAAGTTTGGTGATGGTAAACTCAAAAACACAAAAGCTATGGTTTTTTGAAAATTTTACGATTTTTACATTTTCATTAAAAACACATGTTTTTAACCGTGTATATTTTTCAAGACCAAGCAAGCCGTTTTTGCAATGTATTAAAATGTTTATTTTATAAGTGCTTTTCTACACAGGCCCTATTGGAAAAGTAGTCGGGGTTCGCTATTACAATTTGTAATAGCGAATCCCGACTGCTTTTTTATTTTCAAATTTCAACTTAAATCCACAAAATACATTTTTCTGCTCTTTTTTACTTTTTTTATTCGGAAACCTTATATAGAGATGATACATAATTTATTTTCATTGTAATACACTTACTTTCTTTTTTTATTTACATCACTTCTTAAATACATCGAATATTTTGGCATCATTATCATTACAGTTTGAGTAACGTTGGGCTGCTCAGCGGTGTTTCCGGTAAATGGTATTCCGGGAAATGACTTTCCGGGAAACATCACTGTCTGGGAAATGTGAGACCACTGCACTCTGGGCCATGAATGTAATCTGGCAGGTAAAAAATAATAACGCTCTGGGATTCCATCCAATTGAGTTGACGACTTCAGTGAAGTTTCGTGAATTAGTTAGGCCTACAGTTTGGTGTTTAAAAATAGTTAAAGTTTTGGAAAAAGATGGCGCAGCGATACAAACTTTTTTATTTCGCATGATAGAGGTTTGCTGTCGTCGGCAAAGTGGGAGAACGTAAAATTTTATGACCGTTGCCGAAGACATTAAAGCTATACATCTTCAAACAACTGATGTTTTATAAAATTTGCTTGAAATTCACGATTTTAGTAATTTAAACCCCCAAAATTTAGTACTAAATAATCCAAGGAACTTCAATCAAGACGTCAACTCAATTGGATGCAATCTCAGAGCGTTATTTATTTTTTCTTCTGCTAGATTTCTTTAATAGCCCACTGTGCACTGTTGTCTTCGCTAAAATGCAATACGAGGAACTTTTGGATATCACGATGATTGGCACCGATTCTGCTAGAACTGGGTCCATCCGGTTTAACTATCATTCTCATCTCTCTGTTATCAGCGCATCATGCGATAATCACGTGTGAATTTTACGCAGTCTCAAACAGCGGTGAAAGTATAAATGGCTTCGGCATTGTGATAAAGTGGAATCGAAACATCATTCGGTGTTGTTTACATTTGATTTATTTCATTATACTATTAGTTTCATTTAAATCGAACACTGGGTGCTATGTTGTACTCTTTGGACTTTCATCTAGCTGATACCACTTCATTATGAATCACACACTATCATTCGCTTCTTTCACTGGATTTTCACTCGCATGGCCCGTGCCATCCATGTGGGCAAGACACTTATTTGCACCACATGCGGGTTTTTCCACATTCCTTCGTGTCAACCATTCGTTAGGCTTAGGTTTATCAGATATCAACAAATTAAACCATTATCAGCACCATTCAAATGTCCAGCAAAGTCATTGCCAGTTTGTATGGGCAAACTCTTTTATTCACTCGCCAGCTAGCTCCCTCACATCATCACAGACGGTGAGAGGTTTTTATTTTAGAAATATTAACCGAGACAGAGATCGACTCCGAATTTATCTAATCTTAAAACTATTTTGTCCAGCAAATTATTACCTACTAAAACCCATTCTATGAGTTTTACGATAACTAATTGTCCCCTTCTCTAGTGAGTAACCATGATATTAGGCACGAAAGCTGATTGTTCTACTCAGCTACCAGCGTGCTAATAACATACGAATCAGTCCCAAGGCTCTACTAACAAGTGCTCCAATTATTCTGGAAGCAGCGTCCCCTTTGTCATACCCCCTTTTCTGTATTCTTGGTGACTCGCAGCTCATGAAACTCAACCAATAATTGATGTAGTTCATTTTTCAGGTGGTTATTCTCCTCTTTAAGTTCTTGAATGATGTGCGTCATCTCCTCCGAATACGTTCGGATCGAACCCATTTCGGCCTTCATTTGTTCGTAGCCCTCGATCTGCTGCTTGAACGCTTGATTTTCACGTGTCAAGCTCTGGTGGTCCTGTTTGATTTTGTAGATCTCCTGAACTAATTTATCGACTTTTTCGTGCTTCTTATTACGTGCAATGGCCGAACTGCTATCGGCTGCCAGCATCGTAATGTTCTCTATCCTATCGCGAATGGCATTCATGTCAGCACTGAATGCCTGTAGCGACGCTTGGGTCATATTTTCGTGTTCAATGAGCTTTTGGATTTCTCGCTTGGATTGCTTCATCTCCTCCATGATGTGATGAGAGTGGAGGTTCAGTTCATTCACATAATTGGAGAAATAAAGGTTGGACTTTTTCAAGATGGTAAGAGCTTTGCCCTCCGAGCAGCAAATGCCATCTATCACTCGTTCTTTGCATTTCAGCGAATTGAACAGCTTGTACTCACGGATGTTGATCTTTTTGAAGTAGATGAGCATCTCCGCTAGGTTTTCGCAGTGCCAATCGTTGTCGTAAATGTGAACAATGTTGATTTTCGGGAACATGGTCCTCATATTCTCATATTCCATATACATTAAACCGTTTTTGAAGAGATGCAGCGTTTCCAGGTTTGGAAACAGACGCAGCACATTGATGTCCAGATATGAAAGCCGATTATCGTTAAGGTATAATACTGTAAGGGATTCGAGTTTGTGTTCCATGGAGTTTTTCACTATGGCCATGTTGTTGACCGACAAATCTAAGGTACGGAGATGCTTCATTCGCTGGAACAGACACAGATCGAGCGAGCGCAAATCATTATGAGCGAGATCCAGAAATTCGAGATTTTCAAAGTAGGAGATATTTTCGATGGTTTTGAGTCTATTGTGGCCTAGCTCTAATTTTTGCAACATTGGAACCGTGTTTGTATCGAAACTGATAGTTTGAATGCGGTTTCTTTCGGCATCCAGATGAAGTAGATTTGGTGGAATGTAAATACTGTGCAAGCTTTGCCACCAGACTTTAAGTTCCAGCATGTTTGGAAACGTCGAGTAGAACTTTTCCGGAAGAACAAACATCGCCGATTCTCGAAACTTTATCCTGGTCACATCGTAGCGCGGTGCAAACAGTTCCACATTGCTAGCCTCTGCGAGATCGTTGATTCTTACACCTTGATAAATGCAATATCCTTCGGGGCTCATTGAACACGTATAATTCACTGTTCGGTTAGCAGCCACAAGGTTCACAAAAATCACACCAACGGCAGCGAAACTGTAACACAAAATAAAACAACTCATTAGCACCTTTTACACTGGCATTCATCAGTTTCAATCGTAAACTTACATTTCACGATACATCTTTTCTTCGAAATTTTCAATTAGACAAAGTAATCGCAATTCTTCGGCAGGCACTGCTCACTATAACTGCTGGCTACCCCAAAGCCCGAAACGATCAGATTTCCCAGCAATTCATACTATGCGTCGATGGAAAACTTTCTCTTTTCTAAGGACCAAACACTGAATCCCGTCCACTACTATTTTTTTTATATTTCTTTCAGACCGGCTGAAGATCGCGCTTGCTACTGATTGACTGTCGAATCGATGCTCGGTCGAATGTTTTTATAGAATCGTTATCAATGGAGAGCCCGAAGAAGCATCCCGATCGATTAGGACACGAGACCCACAAGCAATCGATTACTGCTCATTCTCTCCTACTCGCTCACGGCTATATTTCGGAGAATGTAGGTAGGCTTATGAGACGCACTCTCGCGCGAGTGTGACCTAGCGTCATCGTCCAAGGCGCAGGTAGATGATCTAATAAGGCGAGCTGTGATTGGTCGAAGCGCCACCTTAACATTTTAGCTGTTGGGGGATGTGAACAACAAATCAAGTGGCAGACAGTCGTTATCATGAGGCCTGAAGTGAACTGTGGATCATCAGACTGCAAATCAAATCCACCAATCCAAGGCGTGCTTTGCTTGTTTATTTTGTTGGCCATATGCTTGCTGTTGTATTCGAATCCGATGGATGGCACCGGAAGATGGAATAATGGATTATTCGAGGCCGCTTGGATACAAAGGTGTGATTTCTAGACTTTTTTTTTATCCATTTTGAGTCAGTGGTCAGTGAACAGGGCGATGTACATGTTGCTGAGTGTAAAGATCGTTAAAAATCTCGAAAGTGCATTACTGGATTTATGCTGATTATTTTGATCATCACCCATAAAATCAACGAAAATGTTAACAAAAGCTTTGTTTGAGAAATAGAAGCATTTAAGGATTTCACTCCCACACACTTAGTGTGGTTTGCCAAATCTCGGTAATTCCGATACTGCCGAGCAGCTCGATTATAAGTTTTACTAAGATGTCAGCAAAAAATGCGATGTCAGCGAAAGATTTTCCGATACTATACATCCAAACATTACTGTTGATGAGATCTCAATAAAACTTAATAATGTGCTGCTCAGGCGGAAAAGAATTGAAAAACCGACTTTCACCAATCCTAATTTCAAAATTTTGTATCGATAGACTCAACATTTCATGCCGCTAGCAGTTGTAGTTTCTGAGATACATATGTAAAAAGTGTAAGAATGTCAAAATCGAAAAAGGGGAAGAAAGGTGCGCTTTTTGACGCAAAAACACTCTTCAACTCAAATCAATGTTGGACCACTATTTTCAAAATAACTACAAGATTATTAAACATCGTAAGAATGTTAATGCAATAAGCTTTTCGAAAACAAAAATGATTTAATAAGGCCGGAACAAATCATATTTTTTTCTTTTGTCACTCGATGTTCGTTGGGGGGGGGGGGGTAAATAAAACATTTAAAATTCGTTTTACATTTTATCTAAACCGTATATTTCAAACGCTAACATTTTTCTTAGCCTCCGCTTTAGCCTTATACTTCTTTGAAGCCGTGATTTTTGACACTAATGCCTCAAATGTTGACTTTATTATGTGTAACACTCGAATTATCAACAAGACATTTCGCGCATAAGTTTTTGTATCCTTTCAAGGAAGAACATTGGGAATAATGTAGATGAATAGGATCAAAGCAATTGATTTTTGGGTATTGATAAATTCCGGATAAACCATCAAGCGGTATGCCACAAACGTAACAGTTCTTATGAAAAAAAAATCGTTCTGTTTTCGATACTTCCTCCCTATTCAAATAAAACTCAGTTTTCTCAACAATTGTTCGTGCTTCAAAAAATCTAACTAGACGTATGAATTCAGGAAGATCTATTCAACAAAATCCAAGCGTAATATTCAATGAAAAGAGCCAAAATACATCTTGGCTGAACATAAAAACCAAATTTTAACAAAAATACGTAGTTTTGTCAATTTAATCCTGGCTTTGCGTGTGCATAAAAAACACATCACATATGAATTCAGCAGGGTCAATTCTATAAAATCTAAGCATAACTTTCAAAGGACAGTATCAAAATCCAACTTAGCAGAAAAGGAAAAGGTCCATTCTAAAAAATACAAGCCAAAATTCAGTTCTTAAAAACAGAAAAATTAATTTTCTATGAAAATACCTTCTTTTGGTTCGTCGTTCCGGTATTCAGAAAGTTCCATTCTATAAAATCCAAGCACAATTTTCGAAAGATTGAACCGAAATCCATCCTGGCTTCAAAAAAATTTACCACCACGTATGAACTCACGAAGGTCTATTCCATAACATCCAAGCCTGTTTTTTAAAGGACGGATCCAAAATCCAACTTGGCTGATCAAGAAACCCAAATTTCTATAAAAATACGTACTTTTGTGGATGTAAACCCAGTTTTCTCAACATTTGTGCTTGCTTTAAAAAAATCTACCATCAGGTATGAACACACGAAGCTCCATTCTTTAAAATCTCAGCCTTATTTTCAAAGAATGTGAATCTCACAAGAACGAGGAAGAGTCTAACGGAGCGGAATCTACGTTAAAAGTTAAGTAAATCACTTCAGGAAAGCTCAGACTAACATTCAATATAATTCAATCACTCAACAGAAAAGTTTGGACTCCCTAAGGAAGGTTTTGAACCACTTCAGAAAAGGTTGGAAAATTTAAGATCAAAAAATTGTCGGTTCACTTCGGAAAACTTTCTACACTTTCACTGAGCAAAATTGTGTCCTTGCCAAATGCCAAAGCAGTTATCAAAAATCTGGAGCTCACTTAGGAAAATATCAAACCCGTTCTGACTTGTTTGGTTTCAGTTCGGAAAAAGTTGAATCAATGCAGGAAACCTTGGATTCATTTAGGAAAAGGATTAATCAGCTAATGTTGCCTCACTTCAGAAATTGCGAAACCAATTCTTTAAAGATTGGATTTTGAATATGTTGAATCACTTCAGGAAAGGAACTTTATAAAGGATTGAATAACATAACAGAAAAGTTTAGACTCAGTTAGAAAAATATTGATGACTTATTCGAAAGTTTGAACTCACTTCAAAAAAAGTTCAGACTCAGTTTTGAGTCTGCTTTGAAAAGTGTAACCTCAGTTAGGAATTTCCTGAATCGTTTCTGATTTGGTCTCAATTCTAAAAATTTTAAACCAATTTTGAAAAGATTGGATTAAGCTCGGAACTTGTTGAATCACTGCATAAAAGAGGTGAATCATTAAGTATTATTGCAGAAGGTTTGTAAGTTAAGAAATGTAGATCGAATGCAAAAATCTGGCGACTACGGTGGGCTGGGCAGATCGTAATAATGTCGGATAACGACCCACTGAAAATGGTTCTTTGTAGTGATCCAACTGGGACAAGACGAAGATGTGCGCAACGAACAAGAAGGATCGATCAGATTGAAGGTGAGTTGCCAAACATGATTAGGAATGATGTTTGATAAAATCCGTTTTCAACAACTGAAACCTATAGTCGCTATATTAATAGTCTGGCGGATAGAATTTCGACTTATCAAAAAGCGAAACAAATTCAACTATTCAAAAGGTATTATCAACTTTTAAAAACAAAACGTTGGTTATTCTTTCCTTGCCAATCGAACGCAAATTACCAGCATCATAGGAGAAACCTTCCCGATCACAAAGATGGTATTAATTTTCGTAGGCGAGTCTTGAGTTACGAGAAAAAGGGTTCCGAAGTTTTGTTCGCAATAACTGATGTGCTCTTTTCTGTTGTTGGTCGTGATTAGCTCGATTGGTTCCGCTATTTGACAGCTCAATTGGTTCCCGAGATTCTATCCGCCAGACTATGAATATAGCGACTATACTGAAACCGGCTGATCCGATTTCAAGGACCTGTCATGTCGTACTGGTCAAGTACCAATTTATGTAAAAAATTCTTTAAAAGAACAAGGTGATACAACAATAACATAATAAAATCTAGCAAAGCGAGTATCCATACCCTAAGAGCAACCGTACCAATGAGCAAATAAGGCACATTTACCAACCTCTACCATAACGCTACTTGCGTACCGGGGGTTGCTATTCAGGTTGGGGAAATAGCTATCCGCACCTTGGGAAGTACACTCAAAAAATTCCACACGCCATCATCATGTGTCTCACACTTAATTTTGCGCTTATTGTGAAACACATCCATTTCATGCGTGAATCTTATGCTATGAACCATGCCTGAATACTATGGATTTGAATTGTGACACACTTGGATTCTATGTGCCTCATATGGTGATATCAATAGCTTTGCACACCATAGTTCAATATTCTACAATATTCTACTTTATCGACTTCTACTTTACCGACTCTAAAAATGAATCGACAAATATATAAACAAAACTGCCAGAGGCCAGAGCTTTCACATATCTTTTGAATGGGTCTGATTTTGGATTCGATCATGAACTGTTGGGGTGTGCTGCTGCCAGAGTCTTCGTTCGATCTCACTGTGCCACGGTTGTTCTCATATATGAAGCGGTTTGATAGGATAAAGTTACAACTCTTGTTTTCAATGTTTACCTTTCTGAGCAAGCAATTCACATCGTATTGAAATGCAAAACACTTTAAAGCCATCTGTTTTGAACAGTAGCGTGATTCAATGTGCAATACACTTGAATTGATAGTGAAAAAATTTCAACATTTCAAAGTTTGAAACACTATAAATTAACGTGTTTAACACATTGAACCAAGGTGAAATACACTTAAAGTAAATGTTATTCTGCATTTAAAAAATCAAGTGTTTAAACACTTCGATAAAACGTGTGAAATTTTTTGAGTGTAGTGAGTTCATAAATTTAGCAACCCGGTAGCAACGCATCAGACGGTTGCTATTTTGAATAAACGCCAAAAGTTTGTTTTGCCGGTGTGGAAAACGGTAACTTAAATTATGACTCTGATAGCAACGACCGGTGTGGAGAGGAGTGATTGAGCCACAATGGAAACGCTGTGCGCAAGTAAAATAGTGCCGCAAATGGCAACGACTGGTACGGTTGCTCTAATGAATTTGCGAAAAATAAATACACACTGAAAGTTTTATTTTACTTCCCCTTTGGTGATATTCCAAAAATTTTAAGGGGGAGGGGGTGTGACAAAAGAAAAACTTGATATTTGTTCCGACCTAATTTGTAAAATAAATATAATTAAAAAATATAGAAGAACAATGAATTAAAACAAAAACAGAAATTTTTCTTTGTTGATGTTCTATAAATCAA